TTTTCCCCTAGTGGTTTTTTTTTTTTTTTTTTTGTGTGTGTGTGTGTGTGTGTGTGTGTGTGTGTGTGTGTGTGTGTGTGTGACAGGGACTATGTAGTCCCCTGGATGGCTTGGAAATCAATATGTAGACCAGGCAGGCCCAAAACTCACTCTGCTTCTGCCTTCCAAGTGCTGGGATTAAAGGTGTGCTACCACACCCAGCTTATTTGTTTATTTTTCAGACAGTTTCACCCAGTAGCTAAGGATGACTTGGAACTCATCATGTGGTCTGGACTGATCTTGAATTCATAGCAATCCTCCTGCTCCTGAGATTATAGGCCTGAGTCACTATGCCTGGCTTCCTTGGAGTGGCAGTGAGTGGTGGGCCAAGCTGATCTGGTCAGTCAAACATAGGCGCACAACATGGAAACAGGCAGGTTGCCACTGGTAATGTGAATGCTGCCCAGCTGTGGTACAGAACACCTGGAGGCTCTGGATGTGGAGCGTTCCTCAACTCTCTGCTCCAACTGGGATTGTTCTCTCCAATCCTCATTGTTATACAGTGGGGTCAAATGACTGACTTCAGGATTTTGTTTTGTTTTTAATTTTATTTTAAGATGGTCATTACATAGCCCAGGCTGGCCTGGATCCTGCCTCAGCCTTCAGAGTGCTGGGATCACCGTCTGTGCCCTCTTCCTGGCTCCAGCCTCTTTGTCTCAGCTACCTTGCCCCAGGCGCATTCTCCTGGGTTTGCTCCTGGCCCTTCACTCAGGTGACTTGCACCTGCTCCCTGTTTGTGAGCATGTGTCACCTTTTCCCACCCTAAGAGCCTTGTGTTCCCAAAGCTCCATCCTTTCCTTTCATGACACATCTCCAGAGGCTCCTGGCCTGGTGCTAGAAAAGCTTGCTCATCACTCATTGTTTAAAAATTGTCCTGCTAGCATTCGGCCCTCCTGCCTTCCAGCCAGGCATTCCAGGCATCTGGGACTGAATAGAGAGTGGTCTTTGGGAGCTGGGGTCAATTCCTGAAGAGTGGCCAGGGAGGTCTGAGATGGGAAAAGTCCTGATTCATCTCTGCTTGACTCAGCTTTCCCTGCAGTAGGGTGGGAGCCGGAGGTGGAGTCCTTGGCAGTGGTAGTGGGGAGCACTTCTACGATTCACTAGAGCCACTGGAGAGAGCTAATTTCCCAACAGCCCCTCTCTGAGTTATTAATAGTTTTTTGTTGTTGGCTCTCAGTGTGGTGACTTTTGGGGGAGGGGTTTGAGACAAAGTCTTGGCCAGTTTAGGTTGTCCTTGAACTTTTGATCCTCCTTCTTCAGCCTCCCAAGTGCTAGGATTACAGGTGTGGATTACTATGCCAAGGCTAGGTCCCCAGTATTTAAGGTTATAAACAAAGTAGTAGGTAACCTTTACCCTGCCCTCCCCAACAGAGGCCAGACTCAGTGAGTCAAATGTGTGAAGTTCACTTACTTGATTTAGACTCAGATGGACAGTCATAGCTCTAAGGCGACACTACAGTGCCTGGAATGGGGGTCCCTGTCCTGCACATGTTATCATGTGACCCAAAGGCATATAGCTTCCTTTTCCCAGACTTCAGCTCCTCATTGTGAAATTGGGTAGATAGCTTTGAGAATCAGCCAGGGATGAAGGTGAGAGCCTGAGCTACATGTCTGCCATAGGTGGGCTCCCTGTGTCCAGGAATCCCCAGAGACTCCTGCCTCTGCTCTTCCCTGGTTGCAGGAGGTGGGGTTGGTAGGCTGCTGCAGGCCAGGCCCTGGACTTTGGAACCTTCCTTTGAGGAACCTTCCTCCCCAGAGACAGAGCTGGAGTAGGGAGGGCCAGTGTTCCACAGGGGTTAAATTAGGGTTAGACTCCTACTGGGTAACAGGTGGGGCTCCCTGACCCTAAAGTCCCAACTCAGTTTCCATAAGCTACACAGGGGGCTAGGGAAAGTGTGCAAGGGTGTGTCTGGATGGACCTGTCACAGGAGGAAGCTCTAGGGCCCAAGACTCCTCCCCTTCCCTCCCCCACCTTTTACCGGGATCCTCAGCTGGGGACTGGGGAAGGGGGCAGAGCAGGGGGAGGTCGGATGAGGCATCTGTATTTGTGTAGGTTGGCTTGCTGGTGTACCTGTGGCCCTCTACCTGTTCTTTGTGACTGTCGGTTTGAAGTTTCTAGAACTCCCTTGAGTCCGGGCCTTGGTCTTCTCATCTGCCCAATGAGTCGTCCTGCCCTCACTTAGCCGACTGGCAGCAGGGTGTCTGCAGGGGTGTCTGCATGCCCAGGCTGCCTGCAGTTCAGCTGGCCTGCGCTGCCCAGTCCCTCCTGCACACCTCCGCTGGCTGGCCGGCAGTGAGAGCACCTCTAGTTTCCTGGGCTCCGTGCGTGTCTTTGTCTCCCTGTCCACGTGTGAGCTGTGAGCGTGTCTGAGTCAGAGTTCTGGTGCCTGTGGGTCTCTAAGTCCCAGCCCTGTTCACCCTGTCACTGAGCCCAGCCCCGGGGGGACTTGTCCCTGTGTCTGGCCTGTCCGCACACCCTGGTGGGCCTGCGAGATCCTGGCTGCAGTCCTGTCCGCCTCCTGCTCCCTTGCTCACTGCCTAGCTGGCTCTGTTGCTCCCGCTCACTCTGCCTCTCTTGCTCCGGCTCTGCCTAAGGGGGCGGGGTGGGGGGGGAGGGGAGGCTCCTGCATTCTTGCGGTCGGGGAGGAATCTGAGCCAGCGTTACTGGTCTCCAGAAGAGCCCAGCTGCAGCCCCGGGGCCCCGCCAGGCCTCTTGCTGCCCGCCCGGGCCTGCCAGGATGGGCATGGGCTAGGCCTGGAGCTGGGGGCGGGGCAGGGCAGTGCCCCCACCCCGGCCCCTGGTGGCTGCTGTGCCCTGAGGCAGGGCGCAGCGCTGGGCGGGGTGTGAGGGATTCCCGAATCCTGGGTGAGGGGTGTGTCCCTGAGTGGGAGTCCCCAGTGGGCTAGAGCAGACCTCTGCAGCGTCACTTTGGCGACCTAGCCTATTAGTGAATTCTGTGTCTGCAGCCCTCAGGGGCCCCGGGTTGGGGGGCTTGCTACAAATTGCAAGCTCCCTGAGGACTAGGTGTGGGAGGAATGGGGACAGGACTGGCCTCTAGGATCGAGACCTTGTCTTGTAGTCTTCCCTTCTCACCCTATCCTATCCACCTCCTTAGTCCCCGGGCTGTGGGGTCCTCCCTTCTCCCCTCCCCCTCAAACACCCCCTTCTCAAGTCACAAGTTTTCTCTTTGGGGCTTGTTGCTGCAGTCCCTGCTCCAGTACCGAGTACCTGACTGGGCCCTGGGCACGCACAGGGGCCGTAGCCCCACTGTGTGTGGGAGCCATGAGGATCCTGGCTAACAAGACAAGGTGTGTGGGTGTCGTGGAGGGAGGGATGTGTGTGTGTGTGGAGAGCGGGGATGGGAAGGGTCCTGTTGATGGGGCCAAGCTGTGGTTGCTGGTTTAGAGAGGAGCCCCTCTCGGCTTCCGGGCGACCGGTGGGCTGAAGGGAGGTAGAGTGGGAAGGTCTGGTTGGCCCCAGGAAGGACCTGGCAGCCAGCCTTAGCGCCTGGGCCCAGGGGACAGAGGAGACTAGCCGTGAGCTATTGCTGTTTCTGGTCCCTTCTACCTCTACCACCCCAAAGCCTTTAGAGCAGACCCCCATCCACCCTAGTGTGGGGTGCCTTGTGCCCTTCAGCCTCTGTCTAGCTGGGGATGGAGGCTGGAGTGGGGGTGGTGCCTGCCTCCCTCCTCCCCAAGAGAAGCAGGCAGACAGGGCCAGGCGGCAGCAGCAGGACAGCAGAGCTGAAATAAATCTGAGCTGGTGTGGAATGAGGGGGGATAAATATCCTCTCCCGTGATGTGATCTTTCCAGCGGCTATTAATAGGTCTCCGGGGAGGGGGAGGTGGTGGGGGGAGCAGGCTGGAGCTTAAAGGGCCAGCAGCCGAGGCTGCAGGAATCTTTGGCTTCAAGCTGCACTCTGGTCTGCTTGTCATATCACTCCCCTCCCCCCTCCTCCTGTCCCTGCCTGCCTGCAGGGCCTTCTGGCCCACCCTCTTCAGACCTTCCCCTGGGCTCTGGGGAGCTGCCTGGACCAGTGGGTATCACTCTCAATTGTGCTTTCCCCTACTCCCCTAGGGAATAGGGCTGGGCATGAGCAGTGATTCACAGGTCCTGTGGCCCTTCTCTGCTAGCTGTTGGAACACACTGTAGTTGGGGTTTGGGACCTTGGGTCTAAACCCTAGAAAAGAGAGTATTAAGAACTCATCAGGTGCCAGCGGGATGAAACGATGAGTGAAAGGACTGCCAGGGATGTGGGCAGCCTGTGTTCATTGGGGCTGAAGGTAGGTAGATTCTGCCAACTCAAAGCCCTAGTTTCCAATTGAATTGGCCATAGGGAGATAAGGGGATGTTGCCCCAACCCCACTCCCCAAGGTAGACAGGATCATCTCCACTTATCTGAGAAACCACTGAGAGAGGTAGGGTATAGCAAGTGGTGTCAAGATAGCACTCAGCCACCCCCTACACAATTATGTGAGGCAGGGTAGGACAGTTAAAGTTCAGGTATGCCTTCCTTCTTGAAGATTAACCTTTACTGTCTCTCCTGCCTTCTCCCAGGTTACCCCACCCCAGGAGGAGAGAAGCTCCAGGGAGCCCACCGCTGTCTCCCCGCGGCCACTGCCCCCCTGCCCCAGCCAAGCCAATGCACCCAGAAAATAAATTGACCAATCATGGCAAAACAGGGAATGGCGGGGCCCAATCTCAGCACCAGAATGTGAACCAAGGACCTACCTGCAACCTGGGCTCCAAGGGCGTGGGGGCGGGGAGCCATGGGACCAAGGCCAACCAGATCTCACCTAGCAACTCAAGTCTGAAGAACCCCCAGGCAGGAGTGCCCCCTTTCAGCTCACTCAAGGGCAAGGTGAAGCGGGAGCGGAGTGTGTCGGTGGACTCTGGAGAGCAGCGGGAGGCTGGGACTCCATCCCTGGATTCAGAGGCCAAAGGTACTGCATTTCCTCATTCTAAGGTCCTTGGCATCATCTATAGCCCAAGACCCAAACTATCTATAGCCCAAGACCATCTCTTACCTAATTCTTATCCTGTGTTCCCCATCCAACATGTAATATTTCAGGTACTTTTCCCCTTACCTCCATTATATCAGTTAACCAACCAGTTCATTCAGGATTGGGACTGGTCAGGGTACCACTCATGGAAGGGGCCACACACAGTGACAGTCTCATTGCCTTGTACTTTCCTACTATATGTCCCATAGGGAGAGGGAGGTGCTCTGGTGAACAGCTAACCCCCACACCTCCCTGAAGCCTCTTGGTATCCCGGCTGGTGGGAGACTTTGGGAACAGGCACTGGGGCCTGGAAGAGTCTAGGCAGCTCCTTCACCACCAACCCCCCCAGCCCTAATTAGAACCAGTTGTGGTTGAGGATTATGCTGTGCTTGGTATTGGGGGGCGGGGAGGGGAGACAGGCAGCCAGGGCTGAAGGGAGAAATCAGAAACAAATGGTAGTGTGGTGGGGGCCAAGGACTGGCAAAGTGCCCACCATGATCTGGGCAGTGCCCTCTAGGGTGGGGCATTTTGTCAAATGGTCTGGGAAGCCCTCTCTGTGGGGGAGGATAGGGCATCTGGGCACTCACTCTTACTCCTGTTTGCCTGTGTCCTGCCTGGGCAGAGGTGGCACCCCGGAGTAAGCGGAGGTGTGTATTGGAGCGGAAGCAACCATACAGTGGGGACGAATGGTGCTCTGGACCCGACAGCGAGGAGGACGACAAGCCCATTGGGGCCACCCACAGTGAGTACCCATTAATGCTTGGGTGCTGTGGCTCATGGTACCCCCTGGGGATGACTGTCCTGAGGGAAACTTGTCACCTACTTAGGGCTTTATGGGACTGACCATACAAGAAGTAGCAAGGACCAGGAGCCCAGGTTCCTCTCCAGTCCCATGTCTGACCCTTTTCCTCCCCATACTGTGGCAACCCAGCTCCTGCCTTCAGGGTGCTCAGTGGCCCTCTCTACAGACCCTGTAGGGTCTCTCAGGTGGTCCCTTTCCAGGCCAACTCACCTACACCTCTACAAGATTTCCTGGCCAATGCTGCCACCTACTGGCCAATGGAGGATAGGCAATGAAGAGCCTACCTCTCTGACAGTTGGCTTTGCCTTGCTAAACTTGGGTATGAGCTGACACTTGGGTCACACTGGTGCCCTTCTCTAACCTCTGAATGACTCCCAGAAAGTGCCCAGGATAGGTCACCAGAACGAAGAGTGGGTGTGGAATGCTCTCTACTCCTGGTTCTTTAATTATCATTATATATCTGAGACATCCATGATTAGCCTGTCCACAATTCCTTGGTGTTTCCCCACCAAAGCTTTCATCTGTTTTCAGAGGAGAGACAGTTTAATGCATAATAAACTAGCCAGATACTTTTTGAAGACAGAAACCACAGAAAGGAGAAGGAAAAATATGCTGGCTACTGTATTTAATCGTTACAACAGCCCTATGAGGTAGATGTTATGGTGCCTGTTACAGAGGAGGAAGCAATCAGCAAGTGTGGAATGAGTGGACCATTCTGGGGAGTGTCCAATAGGAAGTCTCCACAGCTGTCTAGGACTTCAAAGGCCATATAGTCCCAGGTCCCATCCGCCTCCATGTGACTGACTAGTGCTCCCCAGTCTCTGGATGAACATGTGAGTGGTAGAATCCTTCATGCTTTCTGGGACAGGAATGTCCCTTCCATCACCCTGAATTCATTTTTGTAACATTAGACTACACCGTTGTAGAAACTTTGAAAGTTACAGAGAGATAAAAAGAAAAAATTGCTAAGATGCCATGACTAACCTTTTAAATGACAGCCATTCAGTTCTTTTTGGGAGGGTAGGGGGAAGAAAGTTGAGACAAGGTTTTGTATAGTGCAGGCTGGCCTTAAGCCTGCTATGAAGATGAGGCTAGCCTTGATCTCCTGATCTACCTGTCTTTACTTACCAAGGGCTGGGATTACACCATCCCTGGCTCCCATTCAACTCCTGAAGGATTCTTCATGGAGGGGCAGAATGATGTCAATGTTAATAGCACAGGTTTAAAGATCAGATTCCTTCATTCATATCTTAAGGATGCACTACTTATTTGTATAACATCTATAAAAATCTTTACCTCATAGGGTTCTCATAGGAGAAAATGAGTTGATGCATGTCACACACTTTGAACAATGTTAGTTATATCACTATCATTGTACTAGAAAGTTCCTTCTAGAGATAAACCCTGCCTTCTTCCCCATAGCTTGTATCCAGGAGCTTGTTGTGTGTTCTTCTGAGGCAGCTCTTATACACTGAGGTCAGCTTGCAATTGGCAGGGACAAAGTTCATTGCAAAGCTCTTATGGAAGTTTATACCAGGAGGACAGCTTGGGCCTGGGCCTGGGAAAGGGGCTGCTTTCTGGTCATGCTCTTGCGTTACATGAAAGTGCTGTCACTTGTTACCTGTAGTTTAGAGGCTTTGATTTGTTTTTCTTGGCATGAGAACGTGTCTACTCCCTCACCTAACCACTGGTGACCAGTGGTGGATCTTATCTAGGTAAGAACTGAGAGGCAAGTTTGTGACTATGGAACAAAATTTCTCTTGGTGCCCAGGGTAGCTGGCCTATTCTGGGGAATGTTCCCAGTATGTCAACCCGTGATATTGTGAAATATATATTTGGCCTTACCCTGTTTCCTGGCATACTACTAAAATCCTGGGACTCTCCAAAGTGATGTGTCCTTTTATATCCTGTCTTGAGTGTTGACTGGCAGCCTGCCTGTAGCTTTTAGATAAAGACTGCCATCACTGGAAAGATCAAAGCAGGATTAGAGACTAGGACTTTCAGTCCTATACGCCAACCTCTGGGCAAGGGAGGTGGGTGCTGAAGGTTGAATTGATCATCTGTGGCCAGTGGTCTGATCAGTTATGCCTAATGATGCATCCATAAAAATCCAAAAAGAGGCCGCTAGAAGATGGCCCTTGCCTCACAAGTATGAGGACCTGCTGGGAGTGGTGGCATATGCCTTTAATCCTAGCACTTGGGAGGCAGAAGTAGGTGAATCTTTGTGAGTTCAAGACCAGCCTGGTCTACATAGTGAGTTCCAGGCCAGCTGGGGCTACAGGGAGACCCTGTCTCAAAAAGACACTACCTGGCCTGAAGGTAGGAACCACAAGGTACATTGTGTAGGATATGGTAACCCTAAAGAAATGGTTGACAGGGCTTGGAGAGATGACTCAGCAGTCAAGAGCATTGACTGCTCTTGCAGAGGACCCGGGTTCAGTCCCCAACACCCACATGGTGACTAACAACTGTCTGTAACACCAGTTCCAGGGGGATCTGACAGCCTCTTCTGTTCTCCGTGAGCATTGCATGACATGGGTGAACTTACCTACATGCAGGCATAACACTCATGCACATAAAATAAAAATAATAAATAAATAAAAAAAAAACTGCGTGCAGTGGTACCTTCCTGTTATTCCAGTGATGGCGAGATGAGAGGTGAAGACAGGCAGATTCTCTAGAAGCTCATTGGCCAATAGTTTGGTCTGCATGGCAAAATTCCCAGCCCATGGGAACACAGAGTGTCCCATGGGACACTCTGTCATAAACAAAAGATGCCAGATGCCTGGACTAACACCCAATTCTTGTCCTCTGACCTCCACATGTACCTTGTGCACTTAAGAGCTATGTACACGTACACCTGCTCTTCTTCCATAAACATCACACACACACACACACACACAATTCAAAAAGACTGGCTTCAGGGGGCTGAAGCGCTGGCACTAGCTGCTCTTGCAGAGCACTGGCTGCTCTTGCAGCACCCACATGGCAGCTAAGAACTGTCCAAACTGTCTATAACTGCAGTTCCAGGGAATCCGACTCCCTCTTATGATGTCCTCAGGCATTGCATAACACGTGTGTACTTACACACATGCAGGCAATACACTCATATACTGAATAAATAAATGAATGAATAAATTCAGTGAGTTTCCAGGAAGCTGAGAATGTGGAGGTTTCTGGCACATCCATAGAAGCCCCACATTCCTTTCCCATAGGCTTTATATATATACATATATATAATTTTTTTTTTTTTTTGGTCTTTTTGAGACGGGGTTTCCTTGTAGCCCCAGCTGTCCTGGAACTCACTGTGTAGACCAGGCTGGCCTTGAACTCACAAAGATCTGCCTCTGCCTCCCAAGTCCTGGGACTACAGGCATGCACCACCATTCCCGGCTATATAATTTTTTTTTTTTATTTTTAATTTTTTTTGGTCTTTTTGAGACAGGATCTCCCTGTAGCCACAGCTGACCTGGATTTGCTATGGTGACCAGGCTGGCCTTGAACTCACAGAGATTTGCCTGCATTTGCCTCTGGAGTGCTGGGATTACAGGCGTGCACCACCATGCCCAGCTTATATTTATTATTTTTATTTTATGTGTATGAGTTGAGTGTACTGCCTGCATGCATGTAAGTGCACCTGTGTTGTGCAATACCCACAGAAGTCAGAAGAGGGCATTGGATTCCCCTGGAACTGGAGTTATGGACGGTTGTTAGCCACCAGGTGGGTGCTGGGAATTGAACCTGGGTCCTCTGCAAGAGCAGCCAGTGATCTTAACCACTGAACCATTTCTCCAGCCCTCCCACAGGCTTTTTAAGTTTTGTTCATTTTGTTTGTCTCCTTTGTAGCATCTTTTTTGATAAAATTATGAGTATAAATAAAGTTTCTCAGAGCTGCTCTAGTAATCTAGTAGAATCTGAGAATTAAATTCTGAGAACCCCAAATTACAGGTCACTCATAGGTTGAACGATCCAGGGTTTGCAGTTGGCATGGTGGTGGTGGTCGGGGGGCAGTATTGTAGGCCTGAGCCCTCAACCTGTGGGAGAAATGCTGCCCCAGGTAGCTGATGTCAGAATTGAATTAAATTAGAGGCGACTCAGCCAGGTCCACTGCTGTAGAATTTGCTGGTTGGTAGTTGATGGGATAAAGTCCCCATATGATTCTTGGTGAGCAGAGGTTACAGAGGACTTCTGTTGATCATTCTATGAGAGCAGAGGAATTTTTTTTTTCTGTCTACGGCCTTTCTGTTATTCAAGTGGATTATTTACTTTGTGACATAGTAAGTATGTTTATTTGATCTGTCCCCATGTAGGGCACATGGGGGCTGGGTAGTTTTTCCCTTTTGTAGATGAATCTGAGGCCTGAATGGATGCTGCATCTTGTAAAAAAAAATCACAATCAGTGGTGGGGTAGGAGGAAAAGATACCTGTTGTTTGCATCATGCATCATCACTCATCGGCAGCCTCCCTGTCTTCTCCTTGCCTGGACCACTAGATACTGCACACTCACACACGTGCACACACACACACACACGCACACGCACACACACCGTGGTGGGAGGGCTTAGAGCAGAGATAGTAGGGCTTTGGTGTGCATGCTCTGGGTTCCAATCCTGAATTTCGGTGCTGAATTAGGTATGTGGCCTCGAGTGAGTCACCATATCCTTGGCCATCTCATGTCCTGCTCCGGAGAATGAGTTGATTACACAAAATTATACCTGTAAGGATCCAGTGGAACTCCAGGCATGTGGGCCTCTTGGCCAGCTTCCCCTCTCCTCTCCACATGGTCGTTCTTGCCATCCTGGCAAAGACAACTTGCCTGGTCTAAGGCAAGTTAGCATGGAAGCCAAACTGGTGAAGTCACAGACTATGGGAATAAATGACCCTGTGGGCATGGGTTTTGAGGCAGTGAGCATCCTTGGGCAGGGGTATCAGCTGATTCTCCTTTTAAAGCTGCTCACCTGTTATCCCTCTTCTTCTGCAGATTGTAATGTAGCAGACCCAGTCATGGCGGCCCCACAGCTGGGTCCTGGCCAAACTACCCAACTGCCCCTCAGTGAGAGCAGTGCACCAGGCCCCCCACATGGCCCCCCACCAGGCCTTCGGCCAGATGCCCCTGGGGGTGGGGCCGGAGGCGTCCCTGGAAAGCCTCCCTCACAATTTGTGTATGTCTTCACCACCCACTTGGCCAACACGTAAGTTCTTAAGAGAGACTGGGTGGGCTTTGTCTGCTTGGCAACCCCAGCCTTGCAAGGGTCAAGTGCATGCAAGGGTGAGGTGGGTGGGTGAAGGTGGCTCCTTTCTGTCCATCTCTCTGAGCTGCCCATGACTGTTCCCCTGTGCAGGGCTGCTGAAGCAGTGTTGCAGGGCCGGGCAGACTCCATCCTCACATACCACCAGCAAAATGTGCCCCGGGCCAAGCTGGACCAGGTGAGTGTGGTACCCTGCCTGGCTCTTAAGATGGGTTGGGCTGTCCCCTCACGTGTCTCATTCTCTAATTTTGTCCTCCTACAGGCCCCTAAAGTGCCACCCACTCCAGAACCACTACCCCTGAACGCACCGTCAGCAGGTACACCACAGTCTCAGCCGCCTCCACTGCCACCACCACCCCCAGCTCCTGGCAGTGCCCCCCCTGCTCTGCCCTCGGAGGGGCCTCCTGAAGACACCAGTCAGGATTTGGCCCCCAACTCAGTGGGAGCTGCCAGCACAGGTGGTGGGACTGGAGGTACCCACCCTAATACCCCTACGACTGCCACTGCTAACAACCCTTTGCCTCCTGGAGGAGACCCGAGCAGTGCCCCTGGCTCAGCCCTGCTCGGGGAGTCCACCCCCACAGGAAATGGGCAGCGCAGCCTGGTGGGCTCTGAGGGCCTGTCCAAAGAGCAGCTGGAACACCGTGAGCGCTCCCTCCAGACACTGCGAGATATTGAGAGACTGCTACTCCGCAGTGGCGAGACTGAGCCTTTCCTCAAGGGGCCTCCCGGAGGAGCTGGTGACGGGGGCCCACCAGCACAAGCTCCCTCTGCCCCTCAGCAGCCACCTTCAGCCCCTCCCAGTGGGCTGAAGAAGTACGAGGAGCCCTTGCAGTCCATGATTTCACAGACGCAGAGCCTAGGAGGCCCCCAGCTGGAGCATGAAGTGTCTGGGCACCCCCAGGGTGGGGACATGGGGCAGCAAATGAACATGATGATGCAGAGGCTGGGCCAGGACAGCCTGACACCTGAGCAGGTGGCCTGGCGCAAGCTGCAGGAAGAGTACTATGAGGAGAAGCGGCGGAAGGAGGAGCAGATTGGACTGCATGGGGGCCGCCCTCTACAGGACATGGTGGGGATGGGGGGCATGATGGGGAGAGGCCCCCCACCTCCCTACCACAGCAAGCCTGGGGATCAATGGCCACCTGCAATGAGTACACAACTACGAGGACCTATGGATGTCCAAGATCCCATGCAGCTCCGGGGTGGACCTCCTTTCCCTGGCCCCCGTTTCCCAGGCAACCAGATACAAAGGGTGCCTGGGTTTGGTGGCATGCAGAGTATGCCCATGGAGGTGCCCATGAATGCCATGCAGAGACCTGTGAGGCCAGGCATGGGCTGGACTGAAGACTTGCCCCCTATGGGGGGACCCAGCAATTTTGCCCAGAATGCTGTGCCCTACCCAGGTGGGCAGAGTGAGGCAGAGCGATTCATGGCCCCTCGTGTCCGGGAGGAGCTGCTGCGGCACCAGTTGCTGGAGAAGCGGTCGATGGGCATGCAGCGTCCCCTGGGCATGGCAGGTAGTGGCATGGGACAGAGCATGGAGATGGAGCGGATGATGCAGGCACACAGGCAGATGGATCCTGCCATATTCCCAGGGCAGATAACTGGTGGAGAGGGTTTGGCTGGCACTCCCATGGGCATGGAGTTTGGTGGAGGCCGGGGCCTCCTGAGCCCCCCAATGGGACAGTCTGGGCTGAGGGAGGTGGACCCGCCTATGGGGCCAGGCAACTTGAACATGAACATGAATGTGAACATGAACATGAACATGAACCTGAATGTGCAGATGACGCCACAGCAGCAGCAGATGCTGATGTCACAGAAGATGCGGGGCCCTGGTGATATGATGGGGCCTCAGGGCCTCAGTCCTGAGGAGATGGCTCGGGTTCGGGCTCAGAGCAGCAGTGGCATGATGGGCGGACCACAGAAGATGCTTATGCCATCACAGTTTCCCAGCCAAGGCCAGCAAGGATTCTCTGGGGGTCAGGGACCCTACCAAGCCATGCCCCAGGACATGGGCAACACTCAAGACATGTTCAGTCCTGACCAGAGTTCAATGCCCATGGGGACTGTGGGCACCACCCGGCTCAGCCATATGCCTCTGCCCCCTGCATCCAATCCTCCTCCTGGGTCTGTACATTCAGCTCCCAACCGGGGACTGGGCAGACGGCCTTCAGACCTCACCATTAGTATTAATCAGATGGGCTCGCCAAGTATGGGACATCTGAAGTCGCCCACACTTAGCCAGGTGCACTCACCCCTGGTCACCTCACCCTCTGCCAACCTCAAGTCACCCCAGACTCCCTCTCAGATGGTGCCCTTGCCATCTGCCAATCCGCCAGCACCTCTCAAGTCACCCCAGATTCTCAACTCCTCCCTTAGTGTCCGTTCACCCACTGGCTCACCCAGCAGGCTCAAGTCTCCCTCCATGGCGGTGCCTTCTCCAGGTTGGGTTGCCTCACCCAAGACAGCCATGCCTAGTCCTGGGGTCTCTCAGAATAAGCAGCCGCCTCTCAACATGAACTCTTCCTCTACCCTGAGCAACATGGAACAGGGTGAGTCAGCTGGGTTGGACTTGTGTTGGGAACCTTGGGTGGGTAGGTTCATACTGGGGCAAGTGGTGGCAGCTGTGTTGGGGTTTCCTATAAGGAATTCAGGTGCATCTCCAGGTATCTTGAGGGGTCACACTTTGGACTTGGGAGCTCCCCACTCCCCCGCTGCAGGAATAGTTTAAAGATAGGTGGGCCTTGGGGGTCACAGGGAGCCTGTATCCAGTGGGATATGGGTGTGTCTGGAGGGAGGCGGAGATATAGGGGAGCTGTTTTCCTAGACACCCCCCTTGCCTATGAGCAGCCAAACTCAGCCTCCCCTCCCTAGTGACCCCCCTGATCTCTTTCTGTCTTCCCATTTCTATAGGTGCCCTCCCACCTAGCGGCTCCCGGAGCAGTTCCTCAGCACCTCCTGCCAACCCTCCCAGCGGCCTCATGAACCCCAGTCTACCATTTACATCCTCCCCAGACCCCACGCCTTCCCAGAACCCCCTGTCACTGATGATGTCCCAGATGTCCAAGTACGCCATGCCCAGCTCTACCCCGCTATACCACAATGCCATCAAGACCATCGCCACCTCAGATGATGAGCTTCTGCCTGACCGGCCCCTGCTACCCCCACCCCCACCACCACAGGGCTCTGGGCCAGGTGCGGGGAGACAAGGGACTCTGGGAGTGGGTTTGCTCAGGAATTTCCCCTGTGAACATGCTGGCTTCTCCATGCTTCCACAGGCACTGGGCATGGGGGTGGTGTGAGGTCTGAGGCCCTGTTCTAATTATTGCCATCTCTTAGTGGAACCTAGCCCAGAACACTCTAGTGGAGTGGGAAAGAATTGAGGGTGCATACCTCTAAGTTGTGTGGGCACAGTTCCTGATGCCCTTTTCTTCTTTCCCCATAGGCATCAGCAACAACCAGCCCAACCAGATGCATCTGAACTCTGCTGCTGCCCAGAGCCCCATGGGCATGAACTTGCCAGGCCAGCAGCCCTTGTCCCATGAGCCCCCACCTACTATGTTGCCCTCCCCCACCCCTCTGGGGTCCAACATTCCATTGCACCCCAATGCACAGGGGACAGGAGGGCCCCCTCAAAACTCAATGATGATGGCTCCAGGAGGCCCAGACTCCCTGAATACCCCTTGTGGCCCTGTGCCCAGCTCCTCCCAGATGATGCCTTTCCCTCCTCGGCTGCAGCAGCCTCATGGTGCCATGGCCTCCACTGGGGGTGGGGGTGGGGGGCCTGGCCTGCAGCAGCATTACCCTTCAGGCATGCCCCTGCCCCCTGAGGATCTGCCCAACCAGCCACCTGGCCCCATACCGCCCCAGCAGCACCTAATGGGCAAAGGCATGGCTGGGCGCATGGGCGATGCATACCCGCCTGGAGTGCTCCCTGGGGTGGCATCAGTATTGAATGACCCAGAGCTGAGCGAGGTGATCCGGCCCACCCCGACAGGGATTCCTGAGTTCGACTTATCCAGGATCATCCCCTCTGAGAAACCAAGCAGCACTCTCCAGTACTTTCCCAAGACCGAGAACCAGCCCCCCAAGGCCCAGCCCCCCAATCTGCATCTCATGAACCTGCAGAACATGATGGCGGAGCAGACCCCCTCCCGGCCCCCCAACCTCCCAGGCCAGCAGGGGGTACAGCGGGGGCTCAGCATGTCCATGTGCCACCCTGGACAGATGTCCTTGCTGGGCAGGACAGGTGTGCCCCCACAGCAGGGCATGGTGCCCCATGGCCTGCACCAGGGGGTCATGTCCCCACCACAAGGCCTCATGACCCAGCAGAATTTCATGCTGATGAAGCAACGGGGTGTGGGGGGCGAGGTCTACAGCCAGTCCCCTCATATGCTCTCCCCACAGGGCTCCCTCATGGGCCCCCCACCCCAGCAGAACCTCATGGTGTCCCACCCTCTGCGGCAGCGCAGTGTGTCTCTGGACAGCCAGATGGGCTACCTCCCGGGGCCAGGCAGCATGGCCAATCTGCCCTTCTAGCAGGGCTGGAGTTGGGGATACAGAAAATATCCTAACCTTAACCGATTCTTCCCTCCAGTGTTGGGATGGATGGCCTGGGTCCAGGGTGGGGTGGAAGGGTGGGAGGGGGCTTGTGTGGGGAGTGGCATTTGTGAAAACCAGATGTGCTGGCAGCTTAGGGGAAAGCAGCAGAGTGGGGTGGGGCGGGTTGGGATTGGGGTTCCATTTCTGCCACCAGGACTGCCTCTTCCCCACCCTCTATGGAGCCTCTATTTTCCCTCTGTCTTTGCCCCTCTCCCTATTTTTCAGCTATGCTTTGGGGCCCTGGGGGAGAGAGGAAGAAGAGGGCTTGTCCATCCTCTGTCCCTTTGCGGAGTTGTCACCTTGTTGGGTGCTCCAGCTCCACTTTTACCCTCCCAGTTTCTCTGCTCTTGCCCCTTTTTCCTTCTGTCTCTTCCTGCCTCATTCCCCCTTCTTGCTGACCTGGCTGACCTCGTCTCCCATGCCCCCTGTAGGCAACTGGCCAGATGGGCAGGTGCCAGCAGAGCTGTAAATAGAGCGCTGCGCTTTTGTGCTGGTATGTGAGTGTGCCGTATTTCTGTGTTTTGATAGAAGTCACACACAAAAGGATAAAAGAAACCCTCCCCCTCCTTCAAATGATCGCCCCCGCCATTCCCCTGGACCCAGAGACGTGCAGTCCTATGTACCCTCCCACTGAAAGGCTACCATATGCCCCCACATCTCAACTGAGGTCAGACCACCTAGGCTTCCACCTGGTGAGCCCCAGCAGGGCTAAGACCCCCACCCCCCCACCCCATCCCACTGGCCACCTGTCTGCTGCTGAGTGATTTCTGGAGAGCAGGTGTGTACATGTGCAAGTGTTTACCCATACCAGTGACATGGGGCCCTGGTTTCCCACTGTGGATGCCTGAGTGCCTCTGCTGCTACGTTGTAGTCAGAACTTGAAGCCCTTTGTCCCCAGTCTGGGATGAAGGAGAAAAGGAAGGGGCAGTGTCTGCGTGGCCCCCTTGAATGAAGTTACAAAGGGGTTAATATGATGTGACTTCAGTCTATGGCTGTAGTGATCCTGGGCCAGGTAACCCCTCAGGGCCTGGACTCTTCTTGAAACCACCATTTGCTTCTCACCAAAGAAGGAAGGAATAGGGTTTGGCTGAGTCAGCCTCCCCCTCCAGCCTCCACCCCTAGCATGGAGTGAGGGAAGGCAGGAGGTTAGGGGGGAATCCCTCTGCCTCCTTTACTTGCCCAGTCTCTGGCAAGGTCCCTCTGTCCAGGGCTCAGGGCCATGTACCAGATCTATGTCCACCCAGGCACAACCACTGCCTCCCCTTCAGCCTCCTGCTCCTTCCCAGAAGAGCTCCTCACCCATCACTGGTCAGATTGAAGCCATACAGGACTGGGTATTTTGTCCCCCTTTGGCCCCAGGAATATAATACTTCTCTTTTTCTCACTTCCTTTCCTGCCTTGTAAGGTGGCAGGGCAGTTCCCTGGCTAAGGCCTCTTCTGCCCTGCCTCCAGGGCCAAGGGCCATTCTAGACAGGGTGTCTTTTACCAGGGCCTTGTCCCCAGCCTTCCTGACCTGCAGGGCCTGGTTTTGCCTTGGCAGCTGTAATACAAAGGGAATTTGTGCCCACTTCTCCCAGTCTGGTGCTGCCCTCTTGGTCCACCATCAGTCAGTTCAAGCACCACTTCCCCCTCCAAGGCTGGCTGCAGACTCCTGGCTCCCCTAGCCCTTCTCAGAGGCCATAACCAAGGCCTCTATTGAAGGGTGGGTGGAAACTTGCCCTCCTTCCTGCCAGACATTCTGCCCTTCCTGCCACCATCTGGGCCTTGTGCCCATGACCCAAGCCTACCCAAACTGCCCAAACTACTCTATCCTGCCCTGAGGTGAGGGGTTCAGTTCACAAAGGGCCTAGTGTCCCTTCTGGTGACCTCGTCTCCCACCTCCGCCACTAGCTTCCCAAGGTGAGCTCCACAGGCCAGCCTTCTCCCTTCCATCCATGGCCATACCCCAGCCATT